TCCAAGTGGGGAGTGCCTCTTGTGGTGATGTTCACAGTAGTTTAGGCACTTTGGAAAAGACAGGCCCCTGAGGACCAGACTTTACTTCTGGTGTGTAATTCAGGGCCAATCTACACCATCAGCAAATTCACATGGCAGAACCTGGCTTGGACTGGACCACCCACTGGACCTGCAGGTAGTGGGAGAGCAGCTGTTTGGAATATCCCTGCCTCCCTTGAACAAAGGGATCCATGCATGCTGAAAAACAGCACAGCAAGAAGCTGGTTTCTCCCTGATATGCTAGCTTTTGGCACGCAAGGAGCTTTTGCAATGTGAGACAAGCTTTAAAAAATGTGAGGATCTCCTTGCTGTCTGCAGTGGGATATGCCAGGAAGGATACAGCCATGGGAATTCACTGACCATGTAGCTCATCTCAGTCCACCCACAGGAAAATAATTCGAGATAAATACATTTCCCCTGCTTTTCCCTAACTCTTAGTAATTTGGAATATCAGCTCTATCTTTCTTTGCTGAGGGTAAAAACACTAAAACATATGGCTCTGTTAATGCCACTGGGCTCTAACTAGAATCCTAAGCGCACCCTAGATTAAATTGGACCCATTAGAGTGTCCTTTTTCAGCGCCAGCCAAAGTAGAGTCACAGGACCAGATTGTAGGATGGGAATTGTAACTGGCCACATGGCCATTCTGCTAGTTGGTCCATCCTGTTCCCATTCCCATTTGCAACCTGTTTTCTTTTTATCTGGATGGAGAAAGTTGTGTATTTTCATATGGGTTTTTTAAAAGTGCAGCCTTTGCCCCCATTGAACATGTGGGGCTGAAAGACGCATGTTTTAAAGTGTGTATATACCAAAATATGTATTTTTCAAATTTTATTGCAAGTTTGGAAATGTGAGGATTTTTTTCTCACAAAGAAATACATTCATGTTCATGTTTGGCATTATAACTGGGGAAGCTCAAATGAGCTGCAAACTGAAACTAAGTTTTTTGCATTCCTAGCTGCAAAGCTGCAAACAGTTCTGAGTTTCCTGTAGAAATAAATCAAAAGATTTACTACAGAGAAAACCAGCTGTAATGCATATTAAACGCAGCATGCTGCAAGGTCGGGTTAAATTGGTCCTTATTTTGCAGTTTAAAAAAGTAATATTCAAATAAAACTATTATACAAATACTTGTAGATAGGCTCACAATTAAAGAACTATTAATCCTATGCTGAAATCACCCAAAGTCTCATTTTACCTACACATTTAAATGGGTACAAGAGTAATTTCCTTTCCCCAGGGAACCTTGGGAATTGTAGTTCTGGTAGGAGGTGGTGATTATGGCGATAGTTATAGGGATGGATTAGGACAATACAATTAGATAATTCTTATCACCACTACAAAACTTCATTTCCCAGGATTCTTTGAGGGAAGTCAGATCTGTTAAACCACTACACACACCAATGTAAAGATCATAGAGATGCTATGAAAAAGGCTTCAGAAAGCTGTGCACTCAACCTAAAACCTAGCATGTAGGCCAAAGCAAACATAGTGGTAAAACATCTAAGTAGTTTTACGATGATGTGGAGAAATAGGTACAAATGTTGGCTGTTGACTGACTGTACAATCTGGAAGATGCCGAGCTGAGCCACGCTAGGAAATATCCTTCACTGTCAAGTCCCAAATCTTATTACACTACTGATCCATGACAAATGAGATTACTTCATGATTCGTGACAAGCCTACCTCCCTGTAATACTGTCATCTGGTAAGGCCTTTCTCTTGACTGGAAATTAGGTTGTTGGGTGCAAGGAATATGGCCTTCTCAGTGGTGGTGCCCTTACTCCCAACCCAGGAACCAAGTCAAACTTGCTCCCTTATTGCTTTAAGAAGATGGCAAAGAAGACACCGTTTCTGGGGGAACTGTAGGCCCAGTGATGACTAGGAATGGCAGGTATATTTGTTGCTGCTCTTGACTGCTCTGTTATTCTTGATACCTGTAGTTTAATTATGCATATTTGAAGACTTAAATAATTAAATAAAGGTGGTCGTAATCATCATTATTATTTCTGATAGTTTCCATGTGTCAAGAGAAGTGGCTCAAGTCATCTCCTGTAAGAATTTTTTTTTTTCTGCTTAGACATTGCATCAACTCAAAATGGCCAGTACATTAGAAGTTCCTCATCATCTGCCAGGTATCACCCAAACCAGACAACAGCAGTGCAATGGTCTTTTCTTTTCAGGGAGCTAAGTTTGTATGGTCTGGCAATGCAGTTGCAATGTTAACAGCTGTGTCTTTAAAGAAATCCTTTTCAATATTGCTGCTCATTTCACAGCAGGTTTGTGCTGCTGCCCAGTAAAATTTTCCTGTTCTAGACAGATCATTTCCCACTAAGATCTGGAAGACCAGTATGGACTTTACCCCCTTACCATTCAAGCAATTGCAATCCTTCCTTGGAAACCCATCAGTAAACTGTTGCATGGAACTGATATCTACCGTCTGCATTCTCACATCTTGCATCTGTTGCTAAACTTGTGATTGTAGGTGGAGAAACATTTGAATGCTCTGTGGCATTAAAAGCAACAACAAACTCCACATTCTAGCATTTCAAGGAGAAAGCCAACATGGAACCATTCTTCTGGAGATCCTGGCTTCTCACAAGTAGGGATTGCTTGGCTTTTTTTTTAAAGTGTGGCAACCCCGAGCATTCAGAATTATGCTACCTTTGTACTCTGCCATAGGAGAGCTTGCCAAATACATCTTGCAGGGCTGCCGATCGTGAGCATCTGTTCTGATTCCAGCATTAAACTGGGAAGGGCTACAAATGAACAACTGACGAGGGACATCTTGTTCAGGCACACTAGGCAACACAATTTTACCACTGAGACAGACTCTAGATGGTAGCTGTGCCTACGCCAAAGCTGAACTCCTGATGCTTCAGTGCAGGGAATCCAGCAAGCAAAAGAAAATGGAGAGGTTCTTGCTATGGCAGAAAATCCTATCGGGGTTAACTTTGCGATGTTGGCTCAACTAGTTCTGTACTACCTTCCTGGCTGGCAAAAGCCTTTTAGGGTTACAGACATTCATTCCATTTTTGGGAAACACAAGAGACTGATCCCCCCCACAGCACTGCTTGACAAACTGAACTTGGCTTCAGCTTCCTCAAACTCACCTCTACTTGTTGGGAAACAGGCTAAGCATTTGGGGTTATTAGGAGCAGGTTTATAGTCAAGAATGTTGCGATAGGGACCCTAAGTCTACAATGTGTGAATGGGAGCATCTTTAGTAAGCCGATTCACATGAGGGAAAAAAAAACACACTAAATGGAAACAGCCTGATACTTATAAGCGTGTTCCTTTTAGCAATCCATTTTAACAAATGAATCCTTTCATGAATGTTCAACTAACAAGTGCCCTGCAATTTGGAAGAGAGCAGCTTCTAAAGTTGCTGTAGGATTGGCTAGCACCCTGCAAATGGTTTTCCATTTATCTCCAGAGATAAAAGACTCGAGGTGGGGCTCACTTTCCCTTTCAGCTGAAACTTCTGTGAGCGAAACTTGTTTTTCTGCAAGGGGACATGGCACCCACAGCTCTCCTTGGCTGTGTGACACCCTGATCAGCCATGAGAAACAACTTGGGGACTTCGGCAGAATTGTTTGGATAGGGTGGACTGTCTGCCTGTGAGCAAGGTGGAGGCTTCGAAGGCTAAGGTCCTGGCAGACTTTTTTTGAATCTAGGAAGGAAAGACAACACATTCCAGACCAAATACACTCCATTCTCACTAGGTCCATTCTTATTATGGCTATTCTCAAAGTTGCAAGATACTTGCCTAGAAGATTCTGAAGCATAAGATGCTTATGTATAAAATGCAGGTATGTACAGTTCTCGTACCCCTCTGTTATCTAGGTTGGAAATATGATCAATAAATGTTTCCATTTCTGTATTATTTTGCATTCATGACAGGGGAATAGGAATTTTCTTTAGTTTAAAATGTAGGGCTGTATGGCATATTCCCCCATTTCTTTTTGGGGGGCCAGAAAGAATGATTTGCCAGAGTGTAAAATATTGATTTTACTGTGTCATCAGAACAGTTTTCTTATTTTGGTAATAACCATTTCACCCCTATCAAGGTATTGCTTCTTTACTATTTTCTCCAGCTCCTAACTGGTTACTACTTCTATCATCTTTTGGTCACATGGACAATCACAACTGATCATAGTGACCAAAATGACATCACACTGCTGGGTAGCCAATCAGATGTGGGTGTGTGGTTACTGAGGGGGGAAAGAGATACATTAGGAGTGAGGCTAAAGTTTCTTTGATTAATCCCATAAATGGCCCCAGCCAATCAAGAAGCACACACTAATTAGCATAATATCACCACAGCAAAACAGATTTGCCTCTGTGATGATGTCACGGGTGGGTTAAAGGAAGCCCATTAGTGGAGTGAACAAGGGAAGACAATATAAATGACCAAACAAACATATTCCCAGGCATTACCAATGAATGAAATGCTGAAACTGGAAGGCCTTTTTTGACACTGTGAAGAACATTTCCCCAAACGGTGAGCACTTTCAGCTCAGCTCTAAAAACTGATGTTGGCGGTAGCCGGCCTGATACGGACCCAATAATAAGGAGAAAAAGAAAGAAAGCGAGTCACCTCTCATTCGCTGTGGGTGACTTCTCCCTCCCTGCCGGGAGTTGAACGCAGGCATGCCCTCCCCTTTCCCTCCACGAAGAGACACCTGCCTTTATTGAACGTACGTAGAACTATGGCTTTGTAAGAAGAAAAATTTGTGTAGACTGCAGCTTGTTAATCTTTACATCCACTTGGAGGCATCTGCTCTATGTGAATATGTACAAAATAAGGGATGGATGGGAGGGGGAGAGGGGGAATGAGACGGGACTGGAGCAGTGGGTAGGGAGAGGCTGCGTGATGCGTGGCGAGGACCCATTCGCCATTGGGTCAATGAGAAATCCATTGCTTTGCTGTCCATGGACAGGCTGGCAGTCTGTAGCCATTTACTTCTTAAACATGTCCTGGAGGGGACCAGGCAGGTATTTGATGACGGTGTCTAGGATGCTCTCGTCCTCCTCCTCATCCTCATCGCCGCAGCCGGGGGGGATGGCCTTTTTCGGACGTGTCAGACTCCCTTCAACGTTCGCTTCCAGGGCAGCTTGCGCCTCTGCTTCCCTCTCTTCTTTCTTCTTAATTCCATACTGCAGAAGGCATGAGGGCAGGTGGGAAAGGGGGAGAAGGGGGAAAAAAGCCCAAGATACTGTCACTCTTCCAGCTGACACCCAGATTTAAAGCCGGCGAGGATGCCTGCACATGCTAATATTTGCTTTCGCGCAGATCTCATCTAGCTTGCGTGCGTGGTGGTCAATATTGCGTCGAAGCTTTAAATCAAACAGTAGTTTAAAATGTCAGGCTCTCCTTGAATGATAAAGCTGAGAAAGAAGGGATGACCTCTAAAAATCAAAGAAACATTATAAAAAAGACAAATCCTTCTTTAATCCCCCTACTCAGTTGCACAAACATGGAGTACCAACAGGTAATTTATGGAGTGGCTGCAATATGGACACTTTTTCTGTCTGTGGTTTTTGTCCATATTGTGAGCATTATGACGATGATTGCCTGCTCTTAACCACTACACCACACTGCCTCTAAAATCTTACACCAGAGGTTAAATTCTGAGCTTTGCAGTTGAGGTTTTCAGTCCCTATTTGAACATCTTTTCAAACACCACAGGTCATCAAAATGGGGTCTAAAACAAGGGTTACTCTAGGAGAAGGACCATTGACAGAATGGGCATGTCTGAGATGGTTCAGAGGTTAGTACCTGGCCCAGGGGACAGCTAATACCACGCCTAGTTAGTACCTAGCTCAAGGGGCAGATGGACAGGTGACCAGCTCACTGTGATTCCCACTCTTATGAAATACAGTGTAAGCCAAGTTAAGGCACTGGTGATGTTTGCCTAGTCCCATCAATTAGCATGTGAGAATTGTATGCAAATTGATGCCTTTTTCTGGGAGGATGTCCTCCTTTTGGTGATACCTAAGTACCCACCCTGGCTCCTAGTTTCACTACATGATATAAGGGAGACCCTTTAGCTGTTGACCAATCTTAGGGTTCTTAAAATCCTGGAAATAGTTTTAAAATGCTATCAGAAAACAAAAACATAAACACAGCTCAAGTTCTTATATACAAACCTGCAGCCTCCAAAATCCCCTGTAGCTATTCTGGGACACTCGGGACAATTTCAAACAGGATGAATTAAGGAGCAAAAAATGTGCAGGGGGGGTCAGATCATTTTCTACAAAATGACTTCTTTGTCTCCTTCAGAAGTAATTGCATTGTCTGGATGTCCCCCGTACCTTTTTCTTTGGTTTTGCATCCTAATTAAACCACCTGATGGAAATCAAGATGAAATTCCATACTCAGGATTCACAGGATAGCCAGTTGGGACAAACACTCCATAAAGGAAGATGAAACACTTGGTAAGAATGAGTGGTCTCAAAAAGAAAATTACAGGGGATTTAAGAGAGATCAGAAGATCATTCTAGAACAAAGTGTTCAGCATCAGCTTGTACTGAACATGTAAGTTATGGGTGGTCTTTGATGGTTGGTCCTTTTAAAATTTATTTTTAAACATCTGTTTTATTGAACTGGATTGAATAGCCAGCACCGCCAGTACCTCCTCTCCACTTCCTCTCCAAGGAAGGACAATTTAGTTCCAATAAATGTCTCCCCCAACCCTGGTTCTGCTTTCCTTGGATGGTCAGATGCCTCCTCATTCTGCAAGACCTGGTTCCAAAGATGGGAAGATTTCCACATTTGAACAGCACTCCTGTTCAGGGGGTTAGACCAGAGGCGGTCCACCTGGTGCCATCCGGGTATTTTGGGCTACACCATCAGCCCCAGGCAGCATGGCTAATACTAAGGGCTTATGGGAGACGCAGTCTAAAACATCTGAAGCACATGAGGTTACCTTCTCTGGCTTAGAGTGCCCTGCTATTCTGTTCCCTGAAACTCTGCTGCTAAGCACAATGAAGGGGCTACTGTTCCCCCTTTCTTTGGTCTCAGTGATGGCACCTGGAGGAAGTGGGTGCCTCTCGGCCAGATGTGTCTCCAGGCACAAGGGAAGAGTACCTGAAGGGTATCTTCTTCTACTCACTTTGGTGGTCTCAGTGATGGCCCAGCTGGAGAAGATCTCATTCTACCCTTTTGGGAAGAGCTGTTGGAGTGTGTTGCTGGTGTCACATTCTGTGCTTGTCAGCGAGCAAAAAGGAGACCACATCGTCCCAATGTCATGAGCAGCCCCACACACTCCAAGTTCAGCAGTCACTTCCATGCCTGGAACCTCTTGAGCTCCCTTTGAGAATTAACATTAGAGTCGGTTCTTATGGCCCAGTAAGGTTGCCCCAACTCCTGAGATCCAGACCAGTGGTGCCTGAGATAGGAAAGTGGTTCCTGGTAGATCAGGCGCTGGTACATGGACGGATGAAAAGGAGAGTCTAACAGCAACCTGGTTCACACATGGCATAACCCAGTGCCATAACCCATGGTTATGCCATGGTTTGTTGCCCTACCCAGTGTTTGCTTGGCCAATGAATGAACAAAGACCAGATTGTTTTCTCTGTTTTCTGGGTTGTTTTCTTTGTCCATTGCTAGCTCCTACCATATATATCAAATATCTTAGCAGCATTGTATTACTGGCATATAGGTGGCTGATATCTTATTAATGCTTTTGACCATCATTTCTGTAGCGTGGAGAAATAACCCACAGTTCTGGGGTCATATTCAATAAGTGCCCATGGTTTAAACAGTTCAGAGTTTGCAACCCAATAATGGACCATGGGTTCTCTTTCGGGACTGTTCATGGTTTACAAAGTATGATTTATTAGTGTGGCTGCATTCACATATCACAACAGCCCTGAATTCAATAACCTATAGGTAAAATAAACGATAGCATAGCATTATGTGTGAATCGGGTCACAGACTGACATAGATTACACCCAGTGGGGGCAGAGTTTGCCAGTGAAAGGCCAGTCAGCATTATGGCTTGATGGACAAGGAATGAAAGCCAGGAGCAAAAGATACTGTCTTTTTCCTACCACCACTAGATAAACTTATTAGGAAAACTTGCCTGAGTTAGAAATGGGTTAATCAATGAGTACTTTACTATAGGCATACTCAAACCTGCAACCTCTCCTAGCCCTTTTTGGATGCCCCATAATTTTAACTACTCTTCCAAAATATATTCAGCTGCTTATATCCTGGGGTGATTCAGCTCAGGTTGCTCCAAATTCTTCCAGTCAAAGGGCATGGTACAATTCTTTTATCTTTCCCTCCATAACTTTTTTAATAAGAAAAAAGACCAAGGAAGTTATGGGAAAATGTGTGGGGGAACTAAAAATATAAGATGTCATCTGGACTCCCTGCAACAGAAGACTAAACCTAAAACCTTCAGACTGAATCCAGAGTCTGCTGTCTACAAGAAGAGCTTTGCTCATGTAAGTTTCTACCACTTGATTTTGGGGGATCCCCCATGTCACAGCTCACCCCATTCAGCAGGATTCCCTGGTTCTCTGTATAAGCAGTGGGGGGGCTGGACAGGCTGCTACAAGCAGGAGGTGGTGGGGAAGTCCACTTCCATTAGTGCAGTTGGCTTAGCTTGAATCTGGATTCAACCCAAGATCTGGAAACATTCCTAATGCAAAGGAGCTTCTATGCAAGAAGAAGGTATCTGGGAAACAGATTTTGTATGTGTGTGTGTGTGCGCGCATTTGCATTTATTTCCCACCAAATACTCCTTCCTTTCCCTCAGTCATTTCTACCATCCAAACCACATTAACCACGGCTAAGGTCTTTCTTCTACAATTACAGATTTTGGAAATCACATGGGTATTGTTCAGACTGAAATAAACAGGCAATGCTAGCTGAATGTCCGCACTGACCTTTAGCACCACTTGCTCTGGAACGCAAGCACACGCTGGCATTTGAGAGTCTGTGTGTGGGTCTTTTTCTAAATCAAAAGAACCCTTCAAAGATTTTGGTGGCAAACTGATAAGTCACCCCTAAGTCTTTTTTCTGTTTTGGCTGCAATTTGCTATGCTTCTGAAACATTTACTACATTTTTTTCTAGGCTCCTCTGAGCTTACACAGCTTCCCTTCACAGTGATGTACATGAAACCACTTGGAAACAGGCAAGTTTGACTCAGTATGTAGATACGGGTATATGAAACCAGATGTAGACATGATATACAAAGCTGAAATGATCATCCCAAAGTCGGCGCTAGATGAATGTATTTGTTTAACTGCTTTCAATTGAAACAAAGACTTTAGCAGACACTGAATGCCAAGAATGGATATAATGCTGTGGCTAATCCTGTTCTCCTGTGCACAGTTACTGACAGCAAGCCCTGGTGAACTCCATGGGACTTCATTCTGAGTGAAAAGGCACAGAATTGCATCATAAGAGAAGGAGCTGAAAGTCAAAAGCTCACCTTTGAGGTGAGCATGCAAGGTCATCTCAGGCAAGCAGTTGACAATTCAGTCACAACCACCCCTCTGGAAATTGCATGGCCTGTCTTGGAACACCCTTGGAAAGGTGATATTGTTGCACAATCATGAGACAGTTTCTTGGGGCCAGAGAAGACAGGGTGTTTCCATGTGGTTCATCTTGGTAAAGGGCAACCTTCCTCTTATCATAAATAGCAATCATGGGGAGCGGGGAGGGGGGCAGGGTCTAAGTTTAGGGCCAAAAGGAAGCTTCCTTGCATCCTTAGGATGGGGCCAAGGGCAAGGGAAGCTCCATTCTAGTGACCCAAGGAGATGCTGGGTTCGAGGGAAGCTTCTAAGGGAGGGTGGATTGCCAAGTGAGGCGAGGCCTAAAGAAAAGATCTTTTCCCTGAAGCCAGTCCCCAGGTAGATGAAGGAGATGCAGATAAGCAGAAGTGAAGGAAGTGGTGAGTGGCTAAGAAGCAGGGGAAGCAAATGAGATGTGTAAAACTGCAGGTGGCGCTATGCTAAGCTAAGCATAGAGTTCAAAAGGTAAGGTAATGAACAGTGTCTGCCACACCCTGTATAGCTAATGCCTTCATTTACATGGCCATGCGATATATCGATATATCAAGCGGGAGGGGACCGGGAATATGTAAGAGGTGGAGGGAGAGAATGTAACTCCTGAGTATCCCAGCTAATGAGGAGGAAAGTA